TCCTTGGTTGTTGAGCATGCTAGTGATTCACACTATTACTGGGTTGACTCGAGGGGTGATTCCTCAAATGTACCTATGAAAATGAATAGTGATTCTAAGTAAAGATAGGTAAGAGACCACCATGTTCATCTACTGTTAAGCCATTCTAAGTAAAGATAGAGTATTTAAAAGTGAACTTACAGTGGGTGGAGATGTTTGAAATGGAGTAATCAATCGTGTTGCCATTCCAGCTAAGGCTAAATGTCTTCTATCAACTCGGTTGATTGGTTCTCCATAGTACCATACCTTAGTAGCCCCTCCCTTCATTCCAGAAGATATTCTAGACACTCCAGTAGTTACTCCATACATTATAGCAGCTGTACCAGACACTCCAGCAGCCCCTCTAGTCATTCCAGAAGCGACTCCAGAAATTCCAATAGTTGTTCCAGACACTCCAGTAGCTCCTCCAGTCATCCAACCCCCTCCCGTCATTCTAAAAGATGTTCCAGACACTCCAGCAACCCCTCCAGTCATTCCATCAGCTACTCCAAATCTATGATTGTCCGAAATGGTTGGCTCATTTCCATCCCTATGTGCTCTCTTGTTGTGACCCTCTCCACCACAAACACTGCAATGAATTTTTCCTTTCTTCTTGTTCATCCTTAGGTTGTTCCCCTTATGTGGTTTTTGTTGTTTCTGTTGGCGTTCCAAATCCTCCTCGTGACCTTTCCTCCTATTCGTCCTTCGTCTACCTTTTGTTGCTTTGCATCAGCACTGACATAGGGCGGTATGATAGGATCTTGATTGCTGTCCTGCCATGACTCAGGCCCAACATGGGTGCTAATGTGTGATTGTAAATGCTAATATAGGTCGCCACTTCATAACACCTATCCACATATTTTTCAACTTTTTCCTTTTTTGAAATTGTGCAACAAACAACATGTGCACACGGTATTCACGTCAACTCCCATCTCCTACATGTGTAAGTTTGTTTGTTCAAGTCTACCACTACTTGTCCTTCATGATAGCGAACCTGAAATGTATTAGCACCACATTATAGTGCTCTACAGGCAAAGCTAGCCTCCTTTGCTGCATTTATCTTCTTTATAATTTTAGGGCAGAACTGACTCTTGTAGTTCCTCACAGCAAAATCCTTTTTCTTTGTAAACCTAACCATTAGTTGACACCTAATGGTCTCAAACATATTAATAATTGGCTTCACCCTAGCCTCTAAAATGGCCCTATTCCACGATTCACAGTGATTGTTCAACAACACATCACATTTGCAAGCAGTTTGGAAATATGCATGACACCATTGGGAAGTAGGCTTTTCCAACAACCATTCACATACTGTCTCGTTATACTCCCTAAACACCTCCACATTTTTCCTAAATTCAGCAGCAAATGCTGACCTGGCAATTGCCCATAACAAGTCTTTTTTGGGTTTGTTACCTCCTTGCGCTCGTTGTAAGTTCGACCAGAGGTGCCTAACACAAAATCGGTGCTCTACATATGGTACCAACTGTGATAGTGCATTAACTAGACCCTACATAATAAATATGTCCAATAGAAGACAAATAAGATTATTACTATACAACATGTGAAAAAAAACATATGCCAATAAATCAAATTCATGTTACCTTTTGTTTGTCAGACATAAATGTCCAATTGTCACACACTTCATGGACCTTTAAGTCTTGGAGAAGATGTGCCAGAAACCAAGTCCAATTGTCTTGGTTTTCCACTCGCACCATAGCATAAGCTATAGGGAAAACAGTCATTGGCGTCGATGCCAACGACTGACAGCAGGTGCCCTCCGTGAAGCGTCTTCAAGAAGCAACCGTCTAGGAATATGATCTTCCTACAACCGGCTGCAAACACCTCCTTACAAGCAGCAAGACAGCAATACATTCTGGAAAATGTTGCCCTTAGTCTCTACGAAAATGATCAAACCCGGGTGGGTTCGATACACATCGACACACTAGTCATGAATCGAGCATACTGATCTTCTGCCTTCCTTAGTATTAAGTTCACTGCATATTCTGGTGCCATTCTTGCAGTCCATCTCAACGTGGTATAGTGAAAATATTCTTCCATCGTCCGAGCTATTGAATCATTGCCCCATTTAGGATCAATTTCGAATTTGAGAAGATACTTTCGGGCGATGAACTTGTATGTGAACCACTAGTGCCTTGTAAGTAGAACGCAACAGTCATGTTGCAGGTTGTAGGCTTTAATGTAAACTTTGTTCCCATCTTAAGAAGGTGATGCCCAAATGTTCCAACCATAATTTTTATCACAATAGCCTTGAACTCTCGTCGGGTCACTATGTGCAAACCTCAAAGGGAAATTGTTCTTGATTGAATAAGCTATAATAACATCCTTGAAAGTCTTCAAATCCCTGAAAATTTGCCCAATACAGAACTATGGATTTTCCATATCCCTTGTCGAATTAAACTCTTCGAATTTATTTCTATTTCCACCTTCGTCATCACTTGAATGGCAGTTGCCTAGATCATCTGAGTCCCCACAATCTGTCTATGTCTTCACAAATTTCATTATCAATCATCACATTGTGACGGCCTCTATCATCTTCAAGCTCTCCTATGTCAAACTCTTCATCACTGAACTCATTTTAGCATCTTCAAAGCCACTATCACAATCAGATCCATCCCCTCCATCAAATTCTTCCCCTAAAACTGGACTTCCCCCTTATATTGGTTGTGGACTGGTCACCATCACCTCCTCCTACTTCATATGTTTCTGGCATTGCAACTAGATTAGCTCTCAGATTCGTTGTCGATAGGTTGCCTTCCATGTCCACTTTCTTGATGAGATACAACTCAATGAATTTTCTCCCTTCAATCACCATCTTGCACAGAGATAGCAAGTCTTGATCGCCCTTTAACTCCACCAACCCTTCTTTCATAGTCTTCCCTTCCTCTCTATAGTAGTAAGAATAATTATTCTTAATCTGAAACTCTTCTATGCTCTTGCTCTTAACTTGCTCTAGGTAGCCTACATCAGTTAGAAACCATCTAACTCTAAGATGTACATCAAATCTGGATCAACCCAATCCTAATGGTGAACTTTTCTTCTCACGTAAGAGCCAATATCAACCACCATATACTCTATATGTCCATCATAATGCAACTCAATTGTGAACTTGTCTTCACGTACCCCTGAATCATAAACAAACATAACTATTACCACACTGAGACTAGTTTATTGTTTCTCCTAACGATACAGTTTAAAGTAATATATTATATACTAGCAGAGTAGAGGGAAACAACCAAAAAACTAAAAAAGCAACAAAACTTGGGACCACTTTCATACCCTACACAGGCGAAATCAAACAACAAAAAGCAAACAAAACTTGGGATCGCTAACCCTACACAATCAAACAAACAAATAGAATAAAAAACATATAGAACCATCTGGGACATTTTCACCATCCAACTAAAAAGAAAACAAAGTTGGCATGAAAGAATTGACAAAGCTGGCCTTTCACGCAAGAATAATGAACAAAGCAACCGAAAATGGAAAAGAAGTCGAGCAAAATGGACAAGCAAAATGGAAGCAAAAAGAAATCATATGTAAATTAACCAGAATAAGAAGGGAATTTGTCATATGCTGGCAGAGAATCGAGAGAAGAACAGTCTCTTAGAACTGTTATCATATTTGTTGCCAATCAACTGTCCGTCCAATTTCGAGCAAGTCTTGCATTGAGGAAGACGAAGAACTCTTTGAGAAAGAACGATGGCCCGCTGTCAACTGATCTCTCCAGCAGGATTCGTCGCTGCACACAATCCTCCGAGCAAGTCCAGCAATGAGGCAGTCGGCGAAGACCTCCACTCGACAAAAGGAACCCAAAAGTTCCTTTGAAATAAACCTTATTCGATTTCCCCCAATTTTATTTGTTTAAGAATTAAGGTGAATCAGCAGCCATGTAGGCCCAGTTGCGGGCTGATATGGAAGTTCTGTTCCCCTTTCTCCATCCCGTTAGTGGGTTTAACGAAAGATAATAACGGGCCACTAATTATTTGATTTTTCTGTTAACCGAGGCCCTAATGGTAGATTAGTGTAGGGATGACAACAAAATCCGAGCCCACGAGTACCCTACCCAACCCAACTTAGTCAACGCGGGTAAAGCTCGTGTTGACGGGTTTTGGGTCGGGTTCGGGTTTAAAGTCATTCACTATTCACCGGGTTGGGTTGGATTTGGGTTTAGGTATACCCGCCCCATGGATACCCGCGCACACCCATATGATTAATTTTTCCGGTATATTTTATATACTAAGCAACTAATCTTCTTTATGTTTGTGGAGACATGTATAATTTTTTCTTTCTACTAGTGTAGAATGAAGTTGATATTATCGAGTGGAGAGTGAAAAAGCTTAATTGACAAGGAGGAAGAATCTTTCAATTAAGGGCTAATACCATTGGGAAACCCGAACTATTAACTTTGTGTCATTTGTGTCCTAAAGTATTCGATATGACAAGTGTGTCCCAAACTATTTTTCCGTTAGAGTTGACCAATGTTGACCGTTAATTTTTAACAGAAAGTCTAGTCAGCACTGAGGTGGCATCTAAAGTGGAATTTATAATATTAATTTATAATTATTTTTCATATAAGAAAAGAAAATAAAAAATTACAAAAATAAAAAACATAAACATAAACTAATTGATTTGGGGATTTACCCTTCCCTCTCCCGTCTCCCAACCTCTACAGTCAATTGTAAATCAATTTGGGGATTTACCCTTCACTGGCGGAGATGGCGGCTACTCTGGTCTGGGCCGCAGACTCTGATGACGGCGGTGGTGGGCTTCGAGAGTTGGAGACGGAGACGGAGACGGTGGTGTGCTTCGTCGTCGCTCGGTTTCCTCTTCCTTCTCCTCCTATCCCCTCTACAGCCGTCCGCCACTTACTAGGGATTTTGTTTCCTCTCTGGTTAAGTTAAATTGGAAGCTGGGGTTTACCCCAAACTCTCCATTCACTTCCTGACTCATCACCAACAAATCTACGTCGGCTGCTGAATCGTCCTCGGACTCATCTTCACATTCACAATCTTCGCCGCCTTCTCTGCATACCTCGGCGATCGATTCAGATTATTCTTCCTCCATTTCGTTGATCCCACCGACACCATGTCCCATTTCATCCCCAATTCCTCCTCCTTCTCCTCATATGCACCAAAACAAAAAAAGAACCCAACCCAGTGTGAGTTGAATTGAAGCACAACTCGTGACTCAGCGAGCTTAACCTAGGTTGTAGTAGTAGTAATAGTACCTTTGCCGCCGGAGAAGCGGAGGAAATCGGCGCCGTCGTCGAGGAAATCAAGGTCGTCAGGGAGGAAGAAGTCGGATTGGGGATCCTGGTAGCGCTCCAGGAACCAGTAGTCGCGGAACCAGGTGGAGGATTGGATGAACGACCACCACTGTTTGGAGAAGTCCTCCACCGCCTGGTAAGCCATGGGGACGAACATCGGGGCGTTCAGATTCAAGCTCGACTGCTGATGAGCAAACATTACATCCATTGCTGCTGCAAGAAAATGGGGGAAAAGCGTTTGACGAGGTCTGGAGATTGAGGATAAGGCTAATTGGTAGAGATGATAGTGAGAAGTTTTTTCATTTTTTAATTTTTCCATTTTATTTTTATTTAAATTTTAATTAAAAATATGAGGTGTCAATGATGTGGCATCTATGTGGCTGCCACGTGTTTGCCACGTCAGCAAAAGTCAACATCAAGTTGACAACAGGTGGAAGCATGGCCCTACTCCGATACTTGAAATTTTGGTCTTAAATTGACCTAAACGAGGTTACACAAGTGGGTAAGTGATGCTCTAAAACACAACACCTAACAAAGGCCAAGTGTAACCAATGAAAGGGACTGCAGTATAGTGGCTCAAGTGATAAATATAGAATCCACGGGTCTCTAGAGTTACTATTACTCAGCTTCAGTTTATTATTTAGCAAACCAGATTAATAAGGAAGAACTAAAACTACTCTAGCAAACTACAGTTAAAGTTAATCTAATTACAGGTTGGGAACTCACTTAGGTATGATTCCCCCTAGCCACTAGCCAGACTAACGATTGATGATTTCTAACTTGTTTCACTTTCATTCACAATGCGGAGAATCCTTGACTAGACCTTGAGTCTAGACTAAAGGAACAAGGCCCTCTTGAGTCAATTGCCTAGAGGGACGTATCCTTCTCTAGAACAACTGATCAAGGCGTTCTGAACTAGACTCCCTCTATCGAAAGAGGTTCTCAATCGATACAAAGCAGTGAATCAACCCTCGACTAAAGCAATCGATCCACTACTATCAATCTATGGTGCTCTATTGACCTAATCAGGTATTCCCTCTCATAGGATCAAAGCAGAATCAATAATCTCGACTAAAGCAGAATTGAATCATGAAAACATGCATAGATTGAATATGAACTCAAGATTATCAAGTCAGAGTACTCATACAATCATCCAATCAAACAAACATAGCTAGGGTTCCTCAAAACCTAAGTGAAGAGAAGTTACTCCATAGAGAAGAGAGAGACTGCAGTAAGAATCTTCAGATGATCAGTCTTCAAGTCCGGGCTTGTTCCTCAAGCTTCCAAGGCGAAGAAATCCTCCTTCTCTACTCCAAGAATGCCCTCAAATCGCCCTCTCTCTCTCTTTGGTTCGTCCCTTGGGTGTTTGGGATCCAAAAACCCAGCTCTCTCCTTTCCTTTGGCTGAAAATCGGGTTTTAAACAGCAATTCCTGACTCACACGGGCAGGCCGCACGGCCGTGCAGCTCACCCAGTTGCCCGTGCGATTCAAAACGCAGCGTATCGACTAGTTGAATTCCAGGCTTCTTACACGGCCAGGGTCGCACGGCCGTGCAGCTCACCTTGCACGGCCGTGTGGATTTTCTGCTCTGCCCGTGTGGCTTGCTCAGTCTCTGTTTAATGCTTCGTTTCTCCCTCGTCCGGACTCTGAATCAGTCGCCGTTTGATCCCAGACGCTCGTAGTCTCGTCCTCTTTCGTTTCATAACAAACTTGCATGATTCTTTGTCCATAAAGTGAGGTAGAAATCCATTCTTCTTCAGGTCATGCCCGAGTTTCTTCTCTCGAATCGTCAATTGATCTCTGATTGACTTGAAACTTGCGCATATGCTTCACTTTATGTGCTAGGACCTGAAATGGGACAAAGGAACACAACCTAGCATAAAATAGGCCAAAGACGCAATAATTCAAGCTCAAACAATCAAGAAACAAAGGGGAAAACATGTGCAAATACCGAGTCATCAAATCCCCCCACACTTAACTGTTTGCTTGTCCCCAAGCAAACCTAACTCAAACCAATGCAACTCTCCAGACCTCTATAGCAACAAACACCCCAGATCGTAGGTAGAGGACTTCCTAGATTATTTAGCAACTTACGAGGTCAACCGACAAACAAGTCATCTCATAGCTTCTTCGGCGAGAGCACTAGTATCGAGTCGGCATTATGGCAAATAGTGAACAGAGGACAAATGAATTGTGGATGAAGAGATTCTCAAAAACAAAAGATCATGGACTCACATTTTTCAAGGTGCTCTATTTTCTTCTTGAAGATGGTTGGAACCCCTTATCTTTTCTGTTTTGCTTGTTTTCTGTTATTTTCTTTTCTTTTTTTTTCAAGGGTCCCAACCTGCTCTTACCGGCCATGCCAGGAGCGGATGTCTCGAGCCTCGTGCGGGGGAAAGACATGTAAGGGGGCTGGAGGTAGTAGGTGGAAATTGGGAACGAATTCCCGTCTCCCCTTACACACTTTCGCTCTATTCGCACGGGAGACGTTATTTTGAAGCACATTTTCGAGCACCTGTTAAACTCAAAACATGATACAAGAGTCCATGACAGGTAGAGAATCCACAACACCACACAATTCAAGGGTCCTAAGATCACTAATTCACTCAATCAACCAACACAATATGAAGAAGCAATGAGACTTCTTAAATGCATCAACATCCTCCATAGTGCTACACTACCTCCCTAGGTTGCATATTACTATAAAGACTGTCAATTCAAAGCATACTGAGCAGGCAATTGCAAGGAACACGTACTTGGAGCCCTCAAATTTAAAAATTTGGACAGTGGACTAGGCTCCAAACACACAAACAGCCAAACATTCACCCGCATACATAATCGAACATCCCCCCACACTTAAGCACGACATTGTCCTCAATGGAGGAAAGATAAGGAGGGTAGAACGAAGTTACCAGATCAAGGGTGAATGATGATGAACGGGTCAGGCGGTGCATTCCAGAAAGAGAGAGTAATCAGAACACAAACACCACACAAAATCTCACAAAGGTTGAGTTATTGACTCTAAAATCAAATAGCAAAACTGACTCAACCGAGGAGAAATAGAGAAAGAAATGCAAACCGACTGGTTGGGTTGCCTCCCAACAAGCGCTTCTTTCACGTCGTGAGCCGGACGATGGCTCCTAAGTTTTGGTCCATGCTAGAACCTCCTTGAAGTTGAGGTTCTCGTCGATGAGGTGGAGTCTCAAGTCACGAGCATGTGGTGTGGCAGGTGATGAAGGCTCATGTACTTGATGCAGATGAAGTCTCCACCCTCGAGACCTCTTCTTCTCTTCTCTCGTCTCATTGCCCCAAACCAGATAAGACAACATCAATTGGCCACCATCGCGTCCACCAAGAGGGACCGATGTCGATGTGGCCTTGGTCTGGCAAAGAGACACTGCAAATGGGTCCTTGCTAAGCAGTTCCTCGAAGTTTGGTGGAGAAAGTTTGGTGGAGATATCACATGTAACTCATGGCCGGTGCAGGCCTCTTCCACCTTAACTCCGTCCTCAGCCTGGACGCCAATTGCTTCTTCAACCTCCCTTCCTTCTTCATGTGGTATCACTCCTGGGAAATGATCAAGAACTCCTCCAGCTTCATTTTTGTCATCCTCCACAACTTCTTTCTGCACCCTTTCTTGCTCTTCTTCTTTTAGCACGGATTGGAGAGCAAGTTGCCAAGCAATTTCTTTCATGAGATCTTCTTGCATCTCCTCACTCATGCCCGCCTCTTCAAAGCTCAGTTTGGGGTGTGGGAAGGTGTGGTCGGCTACGACATGACACTCCTGATCATGATCATCACGGGAGCTCTCCGTGACAACTTCAGTGTGCTCCACAATGTCCTTGTAGCCTTCTTCGTCCTCCTCCTCTTCTTGTATGGTAGCAGAAGGGTGATCTGGAGCAGGTTGTACTAAAGATCGCTCAAGATCATCGACACTCTTCTTAAGGCTCAGGAGGATCTCCTCTGTTTCACGAAAGGCCTGGACACAATGATCCATCCTGGAGCATGATCTCTCCATGAGAAGCCTTAATTCGTAGTGTGGATCTAGCTGTGGAGTGTAGCATGGCTCTGTAGAATGGCCCGTGAAGGCCGCCATGGGTAACTCCAGCGCCGATGGCCCTTCTGGTTGTGGAAGAAATTCTTCTTGGTAATGAGGTTGTTCTTGATATGCCCAGGGGTCCGGTTGTTCTCCGTAGTAAGGGGGTTGGTACTGGAACCCGAATCCATAGTCTTCTCCTCCTTGATTGCTCCAGGGAGTCTCGGGGTAATACCACCCGGATGGTGGTGGATACCCCCAATGATTGGAGAAGCCATTAGGATCCATGATTCAGATCTGCACCAACAAAAACAAAAACACCCAAGTGAAAAGCAAGGGTGGAAAAGAAAAGAAAAGAAAAACGCTAAAGTAACAAACTTCTGCCTTTCCTAATACTCTAGAAAGTCCCCGGCAACGGCGCCAAAAACTTGACTCGCTATGACACAACACCTAACAAAGGCCAAGTGTAACCAATGAAAGGGACTGCAGTATAGTGGCTCAAGTGATAAATATCGAATCCACGGGTCTCTAGAGTTACTATTACTCAGCTTCAGTTTATTATTTAGCAAACCAGATTAATAAGGAAGAACTAAAACTACTCTAGCAAACTACAGTTAAAGTTAATCTAATTACAGGTTGGGAACTCACTTAGGTATGATTCCCCCTAGCCACTAGCCAGACTAACGATTGATGATTTCTAACTTGTTTCACTTTCATTCACAATGCGGAGAATCCTTGACTAGACCTTGAGTCTCGACTAAAGGAACAAGGCCCTCTTGAGTCAATTGCCTAGAGGGACGTATCCTTCTCTAGAACAACTGATCAAGGCGTTCTGAACTAGACTCCCTCTATCGAAAGAGGTTCTCAATCGATACAAAGCAGTGAATCAACCCTCGACTAAAGCAATCGATCCACTACTATCAATCTATGGTGCTCTATTGACCTAATCAGGTATTCCCTCTCATAGGATCAAAGCAGAATCAATAATCTCGACTAAAGCAGAATTGAATCATGAAAACATGCATAGATTGAATATGAACTCAAGATTATCAAGTCAGAGTACTCATACAATCATCCAATCAAACAAACATAGCTAGGGTTCCTCAAAACCTAAGTGAAGAGAAGTTACTCCATAGAGAAGAGAGAGACTGCAGTAAGAATCTTCAGATGATCAGTCTTCAAGTCCGGGCTTGTTCCTCAAGCTTCCAAGGCGAAGAAATCCTCCTTCTCTACTCCAAGAATGCCCTCAAATCGCCCTCTCTCTCTTTGGTTCGTCCCTTGGGTGTTTGGGATCCAAAAACCCAGCTCTCTCCTTTCCTTTGGCTGAAAATCGGGTTTTAAACAGCAATTCCCGACTCACACGGGCAGGCCGCACGGCCGTGCAGCTCACCCAGTTGCCCGTGCGATTCAAAACGCATCGTATCGATTAGTTAAATTCCATGCTTCTTACACGGCCAGGGTCGCACGGCCGTGCAGCTCACCTTGCACGGCCGTGTGGATTTTCTGCTCTGCCCATGTGGCTTGCTCAGTCTCTGTTTAATGCTTCGTTTCTCCCTCGTCCGGACTCTGAATCAGTCGTCGTTTGATCCCAGACGCTCGTAGTCTCGTCCTCTTTCGTTTCATAACAAACTTGCATGATTCTTTGTCCATAAAGTGAGGTAGAAATCCATTCTTCTTCAGGTCATGCCCGAGTTTCTTCTCTCGAATCGTCAATTGATCTCTGATTGACTTGAAACTTGCGCCTATGCTTCACTTTATGTGCTAGGACCTGAAATGGGACAAAGGAACACAACCTAGCATAAAATAGGCCAAAGACGCAATAATTCAAGCTCAAACAATCAAGAAACAAAGGGGAAAACATGTGCAAATACCGAGTCATCAGTAAGAAGTCTAGCTTTCTATTGGATCAAATCGGGATTTCCACCCTCTAGATCAATTTTACCCAATATTGAGTTAAAGCTAGCATACTCAATCATTCATGAATAATACATCAAATATCATATAAAACACTCAATCAACACAACAGGTTCATGTTCGTACATCCTAACACATAGAGAGACTAGGATTCACAATACCCAAGTGAGTAGGTAGGCTATTCCATAGCTAGACAAGAGAAAACATCAAAAGGGGAAGAAAGAACCATAAAGTGATGCCAATCTTTCCTCCTTGTTGCTTGAGACACCCTTGAGATGAAGAAATCTTCAATCCTCTAGCTAGGAACCAGCCCAAAGCTCCTTCTTCCTCCTTTGATTTGCCCTTTCTCACTCTAGAAGAAACCCTAACCTCTCACTAGAATCCTCTTTATTCTGAAAAATGAAAACCTAACCTAAAAATGAAGCTCTCTTTCATCTTCCTTTCAGCTCTCCCTTTATACTGAGATTGAGCTGAGTTCAAGGCCTTCCAGTTCAAGGCCGTGAACACCTAAACCCGTCCGTGAACTCGAAGTGTTGTGTCAAAACGCACCACTTCACTCACTTGAGTTCACAGTTTGCACTCAAAGTTCACGGTCTTGGTGACCGTGAACTTACTCTGCGTTAGTAACCTCTGAAACCCACTGGAGGCTTCGCGGTTCACAACCTTAGATGCCGTGAACTCCAATGCTAGGCCATGAACTGCAGCTAATTCTTAGACGCCTGCGCTTCACTATTATTGGGCAACTGTCACAGACGTTTCTTTGGTTGTTGCGCTTTTTGACCTCCAATCGTCCTGAACTCGTCCTCGACCCTTCCACACATGCTAGGACCTGAGATGTATCAAAACAAACACAACCTAACGTGAAATATGTCGAGGAACGATGAAATGCAAAGTCAAGCTATCAAGAAATGAGGGGCAAAATGTGTATAATTGGACCCGAATCAGTATTGTACAATTTGGTTGGTCAATTTGTGATTTGCTTGAATTTTCTAGAATGGTGTTTTATATGTGGATAATTTGTATTGGCAGATTGATATTTGACTTTTATTTTGATAGGAACTTTTATTGTACATTTTTTCGACAAAGACCCATGGGTACTGACAGACCATTAATTGCACATGTTATACCACCATTCTTAAGCCGTTTGAGAGTCTATTCTCGTGTTTTAAGCCGATTTCACGCTAGGTTGTGCGTTTATGTCATATTTCAGGACTTGGCGTTGACGTGGAGACGAGGAAACGAGTTTGGGGCAAAAAAGGAGGAAGTTTGAGTGAAGGGCTATGGAGAACAAAAATACCCGGTCGGCACTTGAGATAACCGACCGGGTAAAGACGTTTTGGACGCCAAAATCCCAGAATGGGTCCGACCGAGGAGCTAAAATACCCGATCGGGTATTCTGGACCTCGATCGGGTATTATCCCTTATTCCACTGCACAGCGTTTTGAAATACCCGGCCGGGCGCCTGAAATACCTGACCGAGTATTATGGCCGGGGATCGTGTTCTGTTGCCTTTTGAGGGAAAGAAGACCAATTTTTGAAGGGTTCCGAGTTTTAGAGAAAGAAAACAGATACCTAGAGAGAGTGTGTGTGACGAACCAGAGTCTCCAAGCGCTCTAGATCGATCTTCATCACCATTGGAGCTCGGCTTAAGCTTTGAGAAGTGCCGATTGATTACCAGAAGTAGAATCTCATCCTTCACAACATGTTTTCTGCATCTGAGCTAGTTTTCCTTTGATTTTCTGAATTGCATGAATCCTGATCAAATTCCTGTTATTCCTACTTTGACCTAGAAAGAGAATATCTGCCTAAGTTGATAGAGCACCCTTGATTGAAGGTAGTGAATTGACGACTTTAGTCAAGGAGTCAATTCACTATTCTGTACTGGATTTACTCCAGTAGAGGATGTTTGGTACGTTAGGGCCTCAATCTGTTTACTTCGGTGGAGGTTAGTCGTCCGCTGGGGACTCAGATTGAGAGGGTCTGAAGACCTTTAGTCGAGACTGCAGACTGTCTAAGAACCTCCCGCAATATAACTATCATTGAACTTGAACTTGGCGAATTACAACTTGGCTTAACTGTAGTCTAGGGGGAATCATATCTGGGTGACCTCTCTCAACTTTGAACACAACTTTCACTTCTCTTGCTTGCTAGTTTAGTTAGACCTTCACTACACTTGAACTGCTAAATAGTAAGATTTTCACGGAGTAGTCATCACACCTAGGACCCGGGTTGACATTTAAATCTAAACTCGCTATACTACGCATTGGTAGGTGGTTATACTTGGTCACTTTCTAGTGTGACAGTACAGGCGTGTCAGGTACCCATGAACCCGTGGATACGTAGCGAGTTGGATTGAGTTTGAGTTTTCCAACCCCAATGAATTTTACCCCGAGTTTTTTTCAGAGATTAAACTAGGGATAGGCAATGGGCGGGTCAGCCACTAGACCCACCCGAACCCACCCAATTATAACCCACCCATTATATGTTTGGGTGGATATGGTGGGTAGGTGTGAGTCATCGTTTTTGCCACGCACTAAACTTGGGTGGGTAGTGAGTGAGTAGTGGGTGGGTACAGGGTGGGTCATTTCCTGCAAAATAACATGATATATTAAGTCGTTAATGCATATTCTATAATAAAACGCTATTCTTTCTAATACCAAAGCTTCAATCGTGATTGATTCAATTAAATTTCAATTACCTTGTATAAATTTTGCTTGATTTACAACATAAAAATCAATCATTTTAAAAATGATAACTATCAACAAAATATTTTGTGTTCTCATATGAGATAATTGGTGTTAGGTTATCTAGTAAAGTATGTTTAATAGCTCTCAGTTTTATTGGTTCGTAGTATTTATATTCAATTAGTTTAATAGAAACTTTTATGGCTCATAATTGTCTAATTATTTAAGGGTTCGATTGGAAGTTGAAATAGTTTTGTTGAGATTGTCATTATGCATGTATTGTTTACAATGCATCGTTTTTTTGTTTTTTTAGCAGAAACAATACATGGATTGTTTCTGTGATGTGACATAAACTATCACTCATTTTGAGTGATTGTTATATCTCAACTTTTAGTTGTGATTGTTGAGATAGTTGAGTTGAGATTGTTTTGTCTCAGCTTTTAGCTGATGCGACATACACAATCACACATACCAAACGTTGTATTCTACAATGCATCAAATTCGACAATACATGTATAATATTATACATGCATTCTCAACAATACATCTATTTAACAATCGTAACTTCCAAACAACCCCTAAAAATAATTTGACCCGCCAAACCCACCCACCATCCGCCATCACCCACCCAACCCACCCACAACTATACAAATGGGTGGGTGTGAGTCATTTTTTCATCACCCACCATAACAATGGGTGGGTTTTGCCCAAAAAATCGATCCAACCCACCCATTGCCCATCCCTAGGTTTGTGTTTGAATTTGGCAAAATCTGAACCGAATACGGAGGAAAGCGATCCCGGTTATAAATTTTGGTTTTAATTTTCCCCCAAAATTTCTTCTTTTCAGCTTCCACCATGATTAGATGGCCATAGGGTCTCTGCTGCTTCAACAACACCATCACCAATTCGCATTCCTCCGCCATACCTGCGGCGTCTCCCCTCTTCCCGTCTCTGTGTCCTCCTTTGCCAATTCTTCCGCCGCCGCCTCGCTGCCCTCGTCCTCTTGCCTCCTCCCGATTGCCTTCCTGCGCCGATTGGCATCTTCTGCCTCCTCCACATCCGCCGCCGCCGCTGCCTCTGCCTCGTCTGCTGCTGCTTCCGTCTTCTCTCCTCATAAGCCCAAACCTAATCACCATCTGCATCAACAACGACCGAAGCGGAAACCGCAATCCCAGCCGCCGCCTTACCCTCCGCCGCTGCCCTACCACCGGTTAAGGTCCCTAGCACCCACACCCGACACGCTGGCTCAGAAGATCGGGAAATCTATTCGGCGCCCTGGCGCGCCTTCTAAGGCTAGGGTTTATGCCGATGTTAACGTTATCCGGCCTAAGGAGTACTGGGACTATGAGACGCTTACCGTTCTGTGGGGGTAAATTGACTTGCTTCCTTCATTGCCCTTTTCAAATATACTTTTTTTGTTTGTTGAAGTTGTTTTAATTTTAGGTTTCATTTGTGGTTGGATGCCGAGATTGAAAGCATGGATGATTTGCATGTTAACCTCAGCAAGGGTTGTAGTCTATCTATCTGGTCGCTATTTGCCAGAAACTTGGATTATGATGGAAAAATCTGTGGTTCCTATTAATATCTCCGTGCATCCTTTGGCTTCATTCAGCTTCATTTGGTATATGATTTCGTGATTGTTGTTCGAAGGTTGGTCCATAATTTATGGGTTTGTCAGTGTGCTGATTCTCGCACTGCTGAATTGTAGCTTTGCTTCAGGTGACTCTATAGCTAGTTGGTGCTGCCATAGTATTCCGAATTTAAGGTTGCGGTCCTTCTAATGCATGAGTAGTTAACCGAAGTGAGATAGTTTTTGTGGATTGCATTGTTCCTGTTTCTCCATCCTCTTCTTATCCCCTGATTTTGGGCCCCTACAATGACACTTTCTTTTCTTGTGCGCTGGTCATTATATGTTTAGCATATAAAGCAGTTGTGGAATATTTTTGTCTTTGATTGGGGTGAGAAGTTATCTCTTGGTGTCTACAGGGAACAAGATGATTATGAGGTGGTGAGGAAGGTTGGCAGAGGAAAATACAGTGAGGTTTTTGAAGGTGTTCATTGCACTGATAATGAGAAATGTATCATTAAGATACTTAAGCCTGTTAAGAAGAAGAAGGTGAGACCTGGATATAGCTTTTGATTTTACATGGTTGTGGCCATGCCATTTGCTGTTTGATCACTGTACATATTTTTTATGTTAAGCTCAGTGGTTACTCAATATTGTATTGCATTTGAATTCAGTCGTTTCTATCTTCTTTCAAAACTTCACCTGTTCGATTCATGTCTTATTTTGTTAGTAGTATCCTGTTTGAAAAGTGTCCTGCTTGATAGAATAGCCATTTTGCATGCTGCTTCAGAACTTAATAATCATTGATTTTTCTTTAACAAAGTTTACAGGATTACACTTGTGAATGCTTACTTAGTTTTGTGATTGTTGCAGATTAAGAGGGAGATCAAAATACTGCAGAATCTTTGTGGGGGCACTAACATAGTGAAGTTGCTTGATATTGTTAGAGATCAGCAATCAAAGACACCAAGTCTTATATTTGAATATGTGAATAACACTGATTTTAAAGTACTTTACCCAACACTTCAGGACTATGACATTCGATACTACATCTACGAACTTTTAAAGGTGATGACTCTTCTATATTCTTTTAGTGAATTCAAATGTATGTTAAGTCCATATATAAGGTTCTCAAGGTATGAAAAGTCTTAAACGATGTTCATCGTAGCCATCATGATGCTATTTGTGCAATTGGTGATGCTAAACGTGAAGCACTTTTCCGTGAACTTGTCTCATCCATGCCCTGTCCATTGACTAGTATGATCAACCTTAACCCCCTGCAGGCGCTCGATTATTGCCATTCACAAGGTATTATGCATCGTGATGTCAAGCCCCACAATGTAATGATTGATCATGAGCAGAAGAAACTCCGTCTCATAGATTGGGGCCTTGCAGAGTTCTATCATCCTGGGAAAGAATATAATGTCCGTGTGGCTTCAAGGTTGGTTCCTTCTAGTAGATTAAACATGTCTTCTATCGGTCAGTGCGCTTTATGGATGCGTTTATTCAAATAAAAGCTTGATGCTTTATACATCGTAAGGGCGAGCTTGTACACTATTGAGAACTATAATGATCTAGTTTGCGTTCCTTAGTGTAAAGGGTTCAATATTCAATCATCTTTAGTTGCTACGAGTGATATACTCCTGTTCTATTTTTCTTCTGCAGGTACTTCAAAGGCCCTGAGCTTCTTGTTGATTTGCAAGACTATGACTACTCGTTGGATTTGTGGAGTCTTGGTTGTATGTTTGCTGGAATGGTCAGTGTTCGATGATTACATTTTATGCTTACACTCGAGTTCATTTACCATAAGCATGGCTTGGGTGATGTTTGCTGGTTCTTGGTCTGCATTTGTTGCTTATTTTTTTACTTCGTTATTTTGCAGATATTCCGCAAGGAGCCATTCTTTTATGGTCATGATAATTATGATCAATTGGTCAAGATAGCAAAGGTAAGACTAAGAGCAATGCAATGAAAGGCTAGCTTCAAGATAAAAGCAAATTGATGGGTAAAAGCAGAAGCGTAAAAGCTAACCTTTTACGAATCCTGTAAATTAGTTTTTTTAACTATTGCTTGTATTTCGCAAAATACAAACAAATAAGTGAATTATATCATATTTAAAAGATCACTCACACACTATAAATAATAGGCTCTTAAACTAGAGTAAATCTAACTGTAGTCCCAACAAGAAGTTCTTAGTCATGTAAGACAAGTCACAGATCCATAGAAATCATGTCTAACGAGCGAGCTTAAACTCCAAACTCTAAGATCAACTTAAGTAAATTTCAAAATCATGAAAATGAAACTACGTCAGTGCATTGCCATCAATAGTTGCATTCAAGTCATCATCATCTTCATCGCCATCACTGTCACCACCACCATAGCCATGATCACTATCATCTCTTGCACCATCACCAACACTAGTAGTATCCTCACCATATTTACTTCCATCATCAAATCCAACCACATGATCATTTTCAACGTTTGTAACCTCTAAATCTCCAGCTTGTGTTTTCCTTGATGGGCATTTACTCAGTTGAGCTGAATTCCTGAGAGAAGCTGAATGGTGTGTTATGGAAATATCAGTGGATAAGTGAATTGTTGACAGCTCATAATAAGTTCCTTATTTAAGGTCTTTTCCTCGTGCAACAGATCTTGGGAACAGATGAATTGAATGCATATTTGAGCAAGTACCGCATAGATATTGATCCACATCTTTCTGCCCTTGTTGGGAGGTCAGCTCGTCTTACATAGACCTGTTTCAATTTAGTATTTTTTACCTCCTAGTTTTGTGCCGTGTTTGACTTTTGTTGTACAGGCATGGACGGAAACCATGGACGAAATTCATCAACCCTGAGAACCAGCATTTGGCAGTTCCCGAGGTAGGAAGTTGTTTGCTGAGTAGAGTGGTTGCTCCTCTCCGAGCCACTCTTGAGAACTAACATCAAAATTGTTTCTGTTTCCTTGGAAGGCAATCGACTTTGTGGACAAATTGTTGCGATACGACCACCAAGAGAGACCAACTGCGAAAGAAGCTATGGTAAACCCTTCTACCGATCAATTATATTGTCCACTCAATCAGGTTCTTTGGCCTTAGTCGTTGTGTTTGGAAGGAATAGTAAACCATATGCTTCGAAGATTTTCCAGGCTAGATATATATTTTTTTTTCCCGGTAATTCAGGCTAGATATTCAACAATGCTATTTTGTTGGCTGTGTTTGTTTTGGCTTTCGGTTAAAGAAGATGATGCCTTTAAATAAGTAGAATTAGAAGTTGGCAAAATGTATGTTGGCATATCTCTCTACTTATTTTGTAGGCGAAACAAACACCCCATTGTCTGCCTATTTCTAAATCGAATTGCGCATGCTTGCATGCATCGTTGACCGAAAACTTTTGTAAAATGTGGCTTTGTGATGCAGGCACATCCGTATTTCTACCCAATTCGAAATGCGGAAAGCAGTAGAGGTCGATCTTAGGCTTCGTCGAAGTTTCCTCTTTAGCAGACTATGCTGTCGACAAAATTTGGCCTGCAGCTTGAACTCTTTACGAAGGGAAGTCATGAATGTAATTTGATCTTTTTGTCTTTTCGTGACAATATGTTTTGTTTTCATTGTTTGTGGCATTGAGGTTTTACCCCTCTTTCGCCAGTTGTAAACGCTTTCATAATCCCCTATTAATTCTTAGTATTCAACATTCTGTTTTGTTTGACTGACAATTCCCATTTCTCCTCTCTCGTTTCTTTAATTTGCAACGAGTGTTTTTGTTTTTTTTATGTGGAAACCTGTAATCATATCGATCAAACAACAGCTGTTACATCATCAAGCTTCAATTGATCAATCAAGCCATACCATCCTCTCATTGGAAAAGTTAAATGTCTTGGCCATCAAATGGGGATTTTTCCAGAAATAGCACCTTTAAAAAAAAAATTACAAAAATAGCACCCATGTAAAAAAAATTACACTAATAGCACCCTTTTTAATAGAACGCACCTTGTAGATGCGTTTTACATATAAATCGCACCCTACAAGTGCGTTCCAAAAATAGATCGCACCCTAAAAGTGCGTTCCAAAAATCTGGAATCAAATCGCACTTTAGCCAAGCGATTTTTGGTCTGACCTAGTAAAATCGCATGGCCGAAATGCGATTTAGGTCTGACCTACTAAAATCGCATGGACGAGGTGCGATTTAAAGCCAGACCTAGTAAATTCGCATGCCTGGAATGCGATTTGTTTCTGCCAGACAAAATCGCACTATGAGGATGCGATTTTAACATGCAAACCGCACCTTAAAGGTGCGGTTTTGGTTAATCAATTTTCGACATGCATGCAGACGTTACAGACGTGGGTCTGTATGGGCCTGCATGGCAGACGAAAATCGCATCTCTAAGGTGCGGTTTTCATCAAGATTTTGCCTATAAAAGGCCTCCCGGACAACCATTTCTCTTCACACCTCTCCTTCTCACTTCCCTTTTCAATTTTCTGTTGTAGCTCTATATTTCTTTAGTAGTTTTGCGGTTAACGTTAACTCGTAAGTTGATTTAGTATTACATATTTCTTTAGTAGTTTTGCGATTAACGTTAACTCGTAAGTTGATGTAGCTCTATATTTCTTTAGTAGTTTTGCGATTAACGTTAACTCGTAAGTTGATTTAGTATTACATATTTCTTTAGTAGTTTTGTGATTAACGTTAACTCGTAAGTTGATTTAGTATTACATATTTCTTTAGTAGTATTGTGATTAACGTTAACTCGTAAGTTGATTTAGTATTACTTTGTATTGTTAATTTTTATTTTTGATTTTTATGATATTAACTTAACTACGGTTTTATCGCAGATTGCATTCCAAAAGTTCACGCTTGGCTTACGGTGGAATGGTTACACGGAAGAGACCGGAAAGGGTGCCACCTACGTAGGTGGCAATTTTCAGAAGATAAAGGTCGCTACCAGACCGCTGCTTGAAGACCTCCATCAAATGTGCACTAACGTTACTTGCATGGATGGCACGAGAAAAGTTGATCGTATGGTGTACCGATATCCAAACAGAGAAAGTGGGTCATTGTGGCATGAAGAATATCTCATAACCACTCAGGATGAGGTAGACGCCATGCTCGAATTCATGAGGTCCAACAATCTTTCCAAAGCCGAGATGTTCGTTTACACCGAGCCGGTCGTAGGCGTTGGAGGTCATTCTGGACACGGTCAAACATCTGGTACCCATGGTGGAGGTGAATTATATGGCGATCATCCCTACCAAAGTTACCATGATCCTCATTCATATTTTCAGTACCAAGAGCAAGGTGAAGGTCATCATCAATCATATGAAGAAGAAGTTCAACCGGACAGGCACAACCAACCTCAGTACAACTTCCTCTCAGGCAGCGGTAGTTTTCACAACTACCATTATGGAGCTGATGAAGGTGCCTTTCATGAGCTGGATCAGATGGAGGATGTCATGCCAGCACCAGTCAGTGACCCCTCCGACGAAGAAGGAGAGAACAACGTCAGTGCAGACAGCTCCGACCCTCTTGAAGGTGCCGATGATTCCGGACCAGAGTCAGACTCAGCTAATGATGATGAGGGGGCTCGTGACCGTGTACCAGTCCCCTACTACAATCACATTCCAGACGACAAATGGATGGTCGACAGCGACATGGAGCTGCCAGAGGTCCCAATATGGGGTCCACTCACTGGGTTTATGAAGGGCCAACAATTTGGCTCGAAGAAGGATGTGCGTCACGCCATTGAGACAGAAGCAATGACTCGGCATTTTGAATGGGTCACAACTCATTCAAACACTAAAAGGCTCTTAGTCAGATGCCGTAATCATCACGAGGGGTGCAATGTTAGGATTCGGGCCATCAACAGCAAGAGACACGGTTGCTGGATCATATCCCGTGCGGTGAACACACACACATGTGTGTCATCCATAACTTCCCAAGGCCATCGACAGTTGAAATCCAGGGTGGTTGCTGCGGCTATCAAGCATCTAATTGAGCAAGAGCCAGACCTAAAGGTGAAAGTCATAATCGCTGACATTGCAAGTCGTTATGGTTATATGATTAACTATAAGAAGGCGTGGCATGGAAAGCAGAAAGCTCTGGCCGCCGTCTTTGGTGATTGGGAAGAATCATATGCATTCCTTCCCAGGTTAATTTTGGCATTGGAGGCGTCTAACCCTGGCACGGTTTTCTCCCCTCGATACCAAGATGAAGAGATACAACCCCCAGAGCCAGGTAACAAGCGCCATTTCAGACGACTTTTCTGGGCATTCAAGCCATGTATTGATGGTTTTGGCTTCTGTGTCCCTGTCATCCAAGTGGATGGAACATTCTTTACCGGCAAGTACAAGGGCACTCTCCTGATTGCCAGTGGGGCGGATGCAAACAGACAAGTCTTTCCTTTAGCCTTCGCCATCGTTGAGGGAGAGAATGCTGATAGCTATGGATGGTTTTTCCGGCAAATTCAGATCCATTGTACTAGGAGGACGAACCTTACAATAATCTCTGATCGGCACGCCGGCATCAGAGCTGCCATCTTAGGTTTAGATCCAGCGTGGAAGTGGTCCCAAAGGTGGTGCATACGACACTTCAAGAGCAACTGGAACCATCATTTCAAGTGGAAGAAGCTTGCTGATAATTTGTGGTGGATTGGTAAGTTTGTAATTAGATGTATAATTTAGTTCCAATTACAATATCTTAGTACATTTGGCGATACGTGCTCTGGTTAGACTCTTTCTAAAGTGATGCATGCCTAAGGAAATGGGGTTTTAAGCGATTATCATGATCCTCCCATTTCCTGGGAAAATCGGGTTTTAAGCGATCTTCGGATCCCCCCTTTTTCTGTCAAACAGGCTGTGTTTCTAAGGAGATATATACCTCTCCTAAGAGTATAACGAGAGTACTTTCGGGTTGTTCGAAATTGTGCTAAATTGCCAAAAATTGACTAACTTTGATTCTTTTCTGTGTCTTCCTCAGCGGTTGCCTACCAAGAGAAAAAATATCTGGAGAAGATGCAGAAATTGCGCGAGTTATGCCCTGAAGGGGCACAGTGGTGCACTGGACATGACCTATCCATGTGGACACTCGTTAGACTCTTAGAAGAGGTATACATCTTCTTAGAAACGCAGTCTTGTTGACAGAAAAAGGGGGGATCCGAGGATCTCTTAATACCCGATTTTCCCAGGGAATGGGAGGATATGATAATCGCTTAAAACCCCATTTCCTTAGACGTGCATCTCTTTATAAAGAGTCGAAGTAAGTGGCGCAATGTATTTGATTAAATTATTGAAAACAACCAACACGATTAAAAATTCAACATAAATTTATTTTATATTTCACTAAATACATTAACAAAATAAAAGAAGGACATATGGTAAAGAATTGTATGTACCGGATGAGCGTTCCAAACATCCCTTGACCGATGGTTGGGTTGGTCGTACAAGTCGGTTGGATCCAACGGTCCTTGCTCGAGATAATACCGTTGGTTGTAAATATCGACGTCCTCCGCAGCCTACGAGAAAATAACAACGAGGTTAGTAAATAGATTAATTAAAAAGCAAGATAAGACCAACAAAAATTAAACCCGAATAATGAGTACGTACCGCTTGAAATTCATCAACAAAAACTCCTTCTCCTTGCCACCAATCGGCCATTTTTTCGGCGCAATTCGGACAGAGCTTCGGCTCGGCGGGTTTTGAGGAAAAAACCTAAGAAATGTTTTCTAATGGCAGATCGGACTTTGCCGCAACCAATAGACCACTATTTCCTAGGCTTTTGGGAGGGGGAGGGTTTAGAGAGATAAAACTTAGAGAGAGAAGGAAGAATGGGTTGAAGGTGTGAAGAAATGAGAGGGGGAGGGGGGCTATTTATAGTTTTTCAGATCGCAGGCTCCAGGGGCGAGGCGGTAATTTTGCCCCGCGCGGATCGCATTCTCCCAATGCGTTTTCCGCTTCCCCAGGCGCAGATTGCATCCTCCCAATGCGCTTTGACTGACACCGGCGCGGATCGCATTACCCGCGTGCGATCTGGGATCCAAGGCGCGGATCGCTCCGCTGGCGTGCGCTTAGCCGTTGGATCGGCTGTCAATCCGACGATCTGGTGGATCGCAACGCGTCCTCCCCAAATCGCATCAGTCTGGTGCGTTTTATATTGTGGATTGCACCCCTCTGATGCGTTTTACGTATAGATCGCATCTGTAAGGTGCGTTTTACATTTAAAACGCATCTTAGGGGTGCGTTCCATAAAATAAGGTGCTATTAGTGGAATTTTTTTTACATGGGTGCTATTTTGGTAATTTTTTTTTAAGGTGCTATTATTGGAAAAATCCCCATCAAATGATACCGACCGATTAACACCCCTATTCCACGCGAAGCTATACTAACAACCCTATTCCACGCAAAGCTATACGGATATTGACCGATTACCATCTCTATTCCACACAAAGTTAATGGTGCTGACCGGATACCGAGTAGCCGGTATT